ACAAGTAAAATAAACATTATCTCAACGTGTCTGTCTTGTCACTATCATTGCATTTTTTCTTCAACCTCCTGTGCAAGCTCACTTTTAGTCAATTTTTAGAAACAAATAAAACTTATAAGTGACACCTCTTCTCCCATATACTCTTAAGAGTGTAAAAAGTAGTAACAAACCAAGTTACGCACGATATATGCAACTCTATCCCGCTTGTTAACTTCCGTATTAGGCTTAATATCCTCCCATGGTTATAAATATAAACATCAATTGCTTTGCCTTCACGTAAGACACTTCTTATCTTGACGTACTCATCACCAAGATCTTGCAATATAAAGTTCACGCAATGTGCTGCACAAGGGGTCCAAAATATCTTAGGATGTTGTTCTTCTAAAATCCTTCTAACTGCCTTGAAGTTAGATCCATTATCGGTGATGAACTATTAAGTATTAGCATGGGGAAAAACTGAAATTAGTATTAATAATTGAGTAGAAGATTACGTATAGACAATAAATGTACAAGTTTAAAAGATCACATGAACTATATGGTCCTCTCCCACATGTTCAATAATCTCATTAATCAACCCAAAATGTTCTGATGTATCTACAGACTTCAAAAAAATTATTCCTTTTATACAGTTTACCAAAAAGTTGATCAATGTCCTTCCTTTACCATCTGCCCAAAAAACTGACATAATAGAGTGGCGATATTGATGGCAAGATAAGAAATTAAGAATAAAATTTCAGAGTATTGGACTAAAAATTAAGGATATTATACAATTATTTACCTCTTCCATAGTCTCCAACTGCATGAATAAAGACCTAGTGGTGTTCTAACAGCATAAAAGCTAACCAACCTCGTATCCCCATTCTGCAAATTTAACTCATGCAATATCCTTTAATTTCAGTTTTGGTTGTTTTTATCCAACATTGGTTGTTTCATCTCTCATAGTCGGGCTTTAATAAGGCATCCACTGAGACTCTAACATCGTTGAATGGATTATATTGTTTAATTTTCATCTTAGAAGCATTTGTGTCACTACCTCTCCCAGTGGATTATATTGTTTAATTTTCGTCTTAGAAGCATTTGTGTCACTGATCTAAAGGTTGAAACTGTGGGTCCACCTTCTGTTTGGTCATCACCATCGACACCAAGCCTAGTTTCATCATCCCCATCCAAGAAAGCATATTCCCTCTCAATAGTACTGTCAATTATAGCTTTCTTTGTCTTGGTGGATTTTTTTTCAAGCATTGATTTTGGAACTATCTTCATTATTTCAATGGTCACCTTGTTACAAGAAACACTTCCCTTGACCTGGGCAAGGTGTTCTCTAAGACGGTGAACCCCTCTAGACATTTTCTTATAAAAAAAACTTACACCACACTAAAGTTTTTTGGTAGGACCTATGTTCCTTTCCATGTTCATCCTATATCATTTGATTTTCTCTTAATTGTAGTATTAACATATTCAGCAACATTAGAAGCTTGAGAAGACTGAGCAAAGTTCATGATTGCCCATTAGAAGCTTGAGAAGACTGAGCAAAGTTCATGATTGCCAATTACATGATATATGTGTACTCATCAATGATGTGTCAGAGTAAACAATCAATATGGTGATATTGATTAAAAGTTATGTAGTAAAATATATAATCATATTGGTGAAAAGAATTTGTTTAAATCAACATATATGTGCATATCAATATTAATGGTAGCAGGATGCATGAAAGTCACTCCCATCAGAATGAATCTTATATTATAAATATTCAGCTAACCAAGCATTTCAGTCCAGCATGCCTAGTGAGAGGTCTCGAGTTCGAAACTTGCTAGGCACATAAGGGTTCGAAACTCAATTGAGCGAGTTTCAGCCCTGATTACTCCAGGCCCCCAGACCCTCGTTGGAGTAAAAAAGAAAAAAGAAAAAAATATTCAGCTTAAACTTTATTCATATAATCTGGATGTGGAAGTTCATTTTAAGGATTTTTTTATTATTGTAATGCTAAGTTGGCACACTTTGTAAATATAAATTCAGCTAATTAGCCTCAACATTCTCTTTTGATATAATCCATATAGTTTTGCAGTATTTAAATATTCCTTCTGAGAGTAAATTATTTAGCATGTTAGGATTATAATTCTTACTCAAGTATAAGTGTTTATGAATTCTATGATTTTCGACGCATTCATGCCTGTGACTAAAATGGTAACATGTCGGGATTTGAAAAAATCATTACTACCTATAGATTTATGTATTTAGACAGAGACGGATTGGGCTACGGGTTAGGGGAGGGCCAAGCCCGCCCTCAAACATTTGTTTTTAACCAGTACTACCATTATAAGTTTATAAAGAAAAGAACTTCCCACTTCCCTCTTTAATTTGTAACAAAAAGATCATCTCATTTCTAAATTTTCCCATCATACCCTTAATAATTTTGAAAATAATACATTATTATAATTACTTTTTAAAATTTGTTCTTTATTCTATTACACAATTTCATTATCTTCCCAGCATACCATCATTAATTTATACTTCATATCTCCTTTGGTTATCTATAAACTACCTACTTTCAAAGTGGGAATATCTTTTATACGTTGGGAGTAGTATATATATAAATCAGTCCCAGCCTAAAAAAAAATTAATAAAAAACCAAGGCCACCCTAGAAATCCCGTTCGGCCGGAATCCATCTTCCAAGCAAGCAAAGCCCAAAAATCAAAATCCCAAAATACTAGGGGTGGACGCGGTCCGGTCCGGTCCAATATTTTATCGAACCCGTACCCGGACCGTTACTATTGAAACGGTTCGGTTCGGTTCGGTCTTAGACCTAAACCTGTTCGGTACGGTTCCAATTTCAAACGGTACGGTACCATGGCACACCAATATCAAATAATGCAACTTTTTTCGACAAATTAAAGTTTAGTCGTAATCCAAAAAGGCAAAAATCCACACAATTTATCAATTTTCATATTACATAATTAATAAATTTCAAATAAACTATAGTAATACGAAACATATATCACAAAACGTTCACGACCACAACTCTTCAAGCACCATTGGCTTCTCACTCATACACATCGGGTCTCCTGGAAATACTTGCATTGCAAAGGTTTAAAAAAGAACCCATATAATACATTAAAGGCATTAACTACTTCGTATTTAACAGGTAAAGTATCTTCATACTCACTGTATGGCAAACGATCTTCAATTTGCTGCTCTTTTAAATTAAATTATAGTAGTACAAAACGCAAATGACAGAACATGAATCTCCCGATTCTCAAATATCCTCTTCATCTTCAAAGTGCAAAACCGGGAGGAGTAATCAAATGGTATACATGTACAAAATTATAAAATCATTAATTATATAAATCATAATTCGGTCCGGTACCGGTTCTCAATTTACGAGAACCGGTCATGGCATGGTTTGGAAGCAGTACGGTTCGATTCGGGACAAAAATTTTGAGAACCCTTTTGAACCCTGTTATTCGGGCTGGTACCATATCGGTCCGGTTCGGTACCATGCCGGTTCGATATTTTTGCCCACCCCTACAAAATACTATCCCCACGGAGTCAGATAGTCACATACCAATACGGCAATGCCATGAGGGAGTGTTTGGTTCAAGGTGATATCTGATACAGGGCGGAATCTCATGCCCAGAATGTTACATCTGGTTCAAGGCAATACCAATACTTATGTTTGGTTCGCGTGTTTGATTTTTCTTTTGGGAATGTTACATTCCCAAAAGTGGAAAATGTGATCACATTACCAGGCATGCCAAACCCACCAATGCCTTAGGTTTTGTAAGATTCCCGGTGCCTTATAATTTTCTTCCAAAAAAACCCATGCTTCATTAATCGACATATCTAGGGGTGGATCGGGCCCGGTCCAGTTCCGAGTCGGGCCTGGCCGAGCTTGTCTTTTTGGGAATGAAGCCCTGGACCGACCCGGCTATTGACCAGTACCGGTTCAAGCCGGTCTACCTGCCCGGGTAGCAGGCCGGGCCGGGTACGTTTTTTTTAATTCATGTTTAAAAATTAATTCAAGAAGTGTTACATATAAAAAACTTAAAGTATATTTATTTGAAACATGAACTACAATTGAGAATTGAGAAAAAAATTAAAAAATGAAATACATTTTCTAATAAATAATAATCAATCGGAATCTCTGCCACCGTCGGTTGTTGTTTCCTCCATAAAGTGTTGGGTGGGGGTGATGCTAAGTTCTTGAGTTCTACATTGGGCCTTCAACCAATCGTGGTAGCAAACAAGCGTCTCAAGAGAGTTTGCACTCAATCTCGTTCTATAATCCGTTAACACGTTGCCGACCGCACTAAATTCTTGTTCCACGGCAACTGTTGAAACCAGGATTGATAGCACTTGCTTAGCCATCTTTGATAAAATCGGGAGCGTTCTTTCTTTATCCTTCAACCACTTTAGAATGTCAAAGTCACCATCTTCTTCATAATCAACAGGAAATTTTAGATACATAGAAAGCTCGTTAACTGAGCTTTGTTCAACAATAGAGTTGATTCACTTTTTTCATAAGATTATCAAATGTAGATTTCAAAAATGATTTTCCTTTAGATGTAGATGTTTGTGTCTGGGAAGGGGGTGTGTTACCATATTGTGCATGAAACTCATTAAATAATTGATAAGTTTAATGTGTTAAAAGACAAATATTTAAAGGGCATTCAAGTAATTCACCAAATATGCAATATAAGATTCATTCAACCAAACAACTTAACGTGACATTCCCTTAATCGTAACCAAACACAAATGAGCTATACATTAATCACATTCTCATCTATCTAACATATCCTAATCTAAGATTATCAGACATTTCTTGAACCAAACATACCCTACCTAGTGATGAGACACACACAGTCCATGCTGGCGCTGGCGTTGACACGCAGACATGTGTCAGCTCTCTTCTAATCACAGCGGCACAGCAAGGACACTGACACGCGGGCACTAACAGGTTTCTACTTTTTTTTAAAGCAAACAATTTTATTCATAAAATTAAGAAATTACAGTACAAAAAGATAACTAACAAAAGAAAATAACTAGGCCCAAGGTTTCTACCTTTACCCTTCGTTTCTGTAATTTCAATTCCATTTTAGGCTTTTAAACTTTAGCTTCTTGATATTCAGTTCTTGAAGTTGGAGGCTTTGGTGTTCTTGAAGTACCGAAAAAGCTGAGCTCCCCCTAAAGTTGTTTCTAACTGCCTGTTGGGTATGAATGAATTAATGGAAAATTCAATACCTATTTCGAATTCCAGCTTTCCAATTTCATGGAAGTAGATAGAGTTAATACGTAATACCCATCTGGTACTTTAATTATAAAGAACTAGTATTTCTCAATTTTTTTGTAGACCCAAATTGGTTCTTGACTTATGATTTTGTCTCAATTTTTTCTAGGCCCAATTTTTTCTAGACCCAATTTGGTTATTGACTTATCAGTCTCATCTGGTCTTCGCCCAATTTCCTGTAAGTTTGTTAATTGTTTAGTTGTATTGTATATTTTATATTCAATTTAGGTGTGTAAGTGTGTTATTTGTGAGCATGATTTATTCGGGGAAATCAATATGATTTGTGAATTGTGATTCTTGGACTCTAATGTGTTATATTGAATTATATTCAATTTGATTCATTTAACTATTTGTGATTTGTGAGTCGTACGTTCTAATGTGACTCGTTATTATTAATGTAAATATGTAATAAAGAGATACTATAACCCTGTTTAAGACTTTGAGTAGGAGCTAATCAAGATATCAATCGATGAAAACGCGTACAGAACAGTTGTAAAATTGTGTTCTTTTTGTATTTGATTTGGATAAAAACTCTTATTCCTATAATATTTATTTCCATCATTGATAAATTTGTTGCAGTATATGTTATTTATACTTGAAAATAAATTTTGTTAAATACACATTATTATACTCCCTCCGTTCTTTAATAAAAGTCCTTCTTTCCTTTTTGGGACGTTTTTTTTTACTTGTCCTCCTTTCCATTTAAGGAAAGTTTTTACTTTAAATATACCTTTATACCCCCACTTTTATTACCATTACCCCTTTCTCTTTCCTACTTTTTCATTTACCCACTACTCATTACACCTTTTACACTACCCCTACTATTTTCCTCTTAAAACCCGTGCCAAAGCCTAAGAGGACAGATAATAAAGAACGGAGGGAGTATTACATTTTGACTTTTTTTGGGCAATATACGTTACTTAATTAAATTTGGACCCCTGGCCCCGGATCGCAAAGCTAAATCCGCCCCTGTATATAGAGATATGTAGTACCTCGAAGCTCATGCATAGCAGGCTTGGGCTGTATGGTTGTACTCATACTTTCATCTTCCTTAAATACCACTTGACAACATGAAATAGGGACACTTAACAGGACTTGTAATACAAAAACATAATTGGACTGTGAATAGGGAAACATAACGGCTAATGAAATACTAAAGGAGGCTGCTAGAATGTGTTTTCATCACTTCTCAATCTTCACTTTGATGCTTTCTATAAGTTTCTTGCTTATTCCAAAGCATCTTCAAACCTTGCTGCCCTTTCCCATTTTTCTTGTCTGAAATGTTTGGAGTAGCTGTAACCCCCATGTCAGTCATGTAGAGTTGTTCATTTACACCAACCTTAACAAATTGCACCTCTTTCCATACACATTCACTAGCACTCACTTCCTAAAATCATTATATTAGCAATAGCATTATCTCTAAATCACTTGCTTATAATAGTATTGAACCTCGATGAATATTATGTTGAATATAATATGATAAGTAGATTAAGCTTCTAAGTTCTAACCTGACTTCCAAATGACTCCCCCATCTGCCTTAAACCGATATCAGCACTTGTAAGCTTCCAAATACTTAACCCAACTTTCATGTCTAAAAGGCTGAACAACTCTTTCTGTGCACCACTGTTATCATAAAGAAGTCCTATATTTAAATGAATATTTTAAAAAATAACTCTGAATCGTGAAGGATACATTCCAAACTATCTGGAAGACTTTTGATCCCGCTTGTTGTTGAGACCTGAATATGCATAGGAACGAACCAACCCTACTCTTAATAATGCGTGCATAACTATGTATTTGATATGAAGTAACTAATGTTGAAATAACCAAGTATGGTCAAAGGTTATTATCCGTGTATGCAGTTATGAAACGTTGTGAAAAATAATGTATTTAATTCGTAATTAACTTGAAAACGTAATAAAAGTCCCAAAATGAAAAGGCAATTGTTTTCATCTTTTCATTGGACACTTGTAGCTTGGTAAATGTGGAGTATCTGTATTGATTACCTGGTTTTAGTCTAGTATCTTGGCGTGAGGTAAACCTTGATAAAATATAAGTAATGAGGTAAGCTGTGGTAGTAGAGACCTTAACTGGGGACTGGGGAGTTAGGGCCTGTTATTTTCCGATATAAGCAGCTTATCAATCTGAAGTAATAGGATATGTATTACAATATACGTAGTACAATATTACCATAGTTCCATGCTTTAACGTTTTACTTATACTCGATACATATTGATAGCAAAATTTGGTCAGTAGGCGGTTTTTGCTTCGCCTGTCCATCTGACGGTTTGGGCCAACCCGCTTGGTGGTCATTGGTTCGGACCGATTTGTCCACCTATTTCAGTTGTCTATTTTGACTTCAGCTGAGGGGCGTATGAGCATCCCACATTGGTTGTCTACCAGGGGGTTGAGTCTAGTATACAAGTATGATTTAAGCATCACCTCTTGAGAAATCTTTTGGACATAGAAATTACCCACATTAAAAACCTTATGTCTTATATATCAAGAGAAACAAGGACTGAGAAAAAAATGTAAAAGGATTTTAGTTCCCAATTTTGTAATTTTAAATGAATTGGAGTAACAGGCATAACCATCCATTCCATCACTATATTTGGGAAGGCAACACAATGTCTCACAAGTGATACACACAATTCACCTTAAGAGCTATAGAACTTTATATCTAACAGTCTGTAAGCGAATGTGAGGAGTCAGGGAACCTTGGGAAAGTCGTGGTGGCCGTCGTGTAAGCGATCAAAAGTGCTGCCGCTGACAATTTTAAGGGCCTTTGTACAAGGTCTAGTCCAAACTAAACACGCAAATCATAATCTTCTATCAACTTTCTGTTTGTATTTAGGAGCAAGATGATCTTAAAACTCTAAGATCAAAATTCTGAATTAGAAATAAGAACTACAAACCTTAGTTTCACCCCATGTCCCCATTATATGTAAAAAGTTGAAGTTTGGGGTGACAATAAATCCATTTGAAAACTAATTATGAAAAAAATCTGCTCTCGAGCTTTATGATGTCAAGAATGAGACCTTGATAGTAAAGGAGATATTTGCTTGGGACTTGGGGGAAGAAGAAGAGATGGGAACCAACTTGTGGAAGTAGAATATATTTTAAATTGGGGTGTTTCGAATATATTTTTCAAATAAGAATGATAAACGTTTTCCTATCCCTCAATACATTCCAAATTGGGGTGTTTGAAAAGTGATTAGTTTAGGTGTTGGAGGTTAGGAGTAACACCCTCAAACATTATTATCACTTTTCAACATCTCAACCAATCATTAAGTGCTTTAAATTTTTTTGCTTACTTTTTTCATGTTCGAAAAGTGCAAAAACATAGAAGTATTAGAAATATTACATTTATTTAATGCTAAACTTGTTTTGGCAATGAATTTGATTTCATACTAAATATATTTCATAATATATCGTTCAAATATATGAATAAACAGTATTTTGCTCTTTTTTGAATTGTCGATTTTTAATCATATTCAATCTTCTTTTCTTCATTACGATAGAGATTTTTAACTAGTTTTAATTAAACTACATTCAATATCCATGTTGATGTTTAAAATTATTGTTTTTATTATTACTATTCTTACTGTTACTATTTTAGACTGGAGTCTTTGGAGCACAGTCAAATCCTTCACAGAGATCGTAGAGAGAGAGAGAGAGAGTATTTTCATAGAAATGGCGAAATCGTCAACCAGTAAGGATGTTCAAGCACTATTCCAATCTCTGCATTCTGCTTATGCCGCCACACCAACTAACCTCAAGGTGCATACATCCTCCTCCCTATTATTCGTATGTTTTCACTTTTCGCCTAGGGGTATCGGAGATGTGTCTAAATCAGCAATTGTTTTTCCTTTGCAGATCATTGATCTCTATATCATGTTTGCTCTCTTCACCGCTCTCATTCAGGTGATTTGACTTTTTTTGTTTTTGTGTCACTTTGTCCCATTCTCTGGTAAAATTATTTGTTAACATGATGTGATTACCTATGAGTCAACCTTCAAATGATTCATGGTCAACACATGGAGTTAATCGCAATCGAGTCCAAAAGATGTTATGTTCTCTTTGAATTTATTTCCAACTAGAGATTGTTATCTCAAGAGCAATACTTGACATCAAATAGGACATATAAATCCATGAGAGCATCATCTGGATTGGTTAGGTGATTTTATAAATATCTTTTTCGATAGAAATGTTTATTATCTGCTTTAACTTCCTGTCCAGTAAGATTTTCTACAAAATGACATTTCTTTTGGAGTCTTAAGGTGCATCTATTACAATGTGTCAATGTGACATGTGCCCTCCCGTACCTATTTTCAAGAAAAGAAAAACAAGATATTAAGAATTTATTTTCCTGTTTGCTTTTACCATGGAAAATGACAGTATATGATTGCTGTTTTAAGTCATTCCAATATGTTTTGCAGTTTAAAATTCTTTGTCCTTATATAATAGAATTAGATAAACAAATTGAGTCAGAACAAACATAAAATAAATTGAGTTTAAACAAATGTCTCATTTTACCTCACATTTTATTTCATTCCAATTTCTCCTTGTACATTTTCTTACCTTAACTTTTATGAGTTCCAACTTCCAAAGGAACCCTACAAGTGCTGTCTCGGTATGGATAGATCATAGATGCACTGTTTTTAGAGCATGGTTTTATAAAATAATTTCACTATGGTCTGAATTTTCCCTTTTTCTTTGTAACTAATTTCCAACTTTTATGCTCATGCATCATTTAGCATTGATGCCTAGTTTATCTTGACCTGAAAAATTCATATCCTTATACCCATTGATGTATCTGTAATTGTTGTTCATACTACTAGGTCATATATATGGCCATTGTTGGAACATTTCCATTCAATTCCTTTCTCTCAGGTGTACTTTCTTGTATAGGGACAGCAGTCCTAGCTGGTGAGCACTATAATCTATGTTTTCACTGCAATTAAATCTTTTGTTAAGAATTAGCTAATAACAAAGGAGTTGGATTCTTTGTTCACAGTTTGTCTTAGAATCCAAGTAAACAAAGACAACAAGGAGTTCAAGGTAAGCAGTCTCTTACATCTCAACTAAGGCATATCGTTTCCCTATTTAATTATTTATGCCCTACTAAATGGGAAAGTGAGATATCATTCTCCTGTGAGTTATTTCAAAGATCACAAACCTAACTACGAAAGTAACTTAGAGAAATTGCGTTCTCTGGCCCGCTTGGTAAGGGCTATATGGCTGAAATGGCCGAAGCTGCCGAAGTTACTGAGAGGAAAACATTTGGTAAGGTACATTTTAGGCCAAATGAGTTGTCCACAAGCTCTTTATTTCGGAGATGGGCTGAATAAGCCACATTTGACTACCAAGCAGAGTCTAAATTCATGATATTTAAGTAGTGGTCTGAATAGCGGAACTGAGAAATTATTGGTTCATCAGTTATTTTTCGAATTTTTTCCATCATTTGCAACAGAGCCAAAGATTCATTATTTTTTGGCTTGAGAATATGATGGAATAAAGCAAAATGGCTCACTAAACTGTCTGCGCTTCTTTGTTATGAAGCAGCAGTCAGTCCATGCAATTTTGGACTCGATTTTCACCATGGGTCATCCGGAAACAGTCTCTTTGTGGGAGCCTTTGCGGCACTGGGGTACATGAAAATGATGAGTTATTTTTCGAATTTCTTATTTGTAGAATATTGACAAATCATGATAATGTTGTTATGTTTGTGTTGTTAATATTTCAGGATCTACCTCCTGAAAGAGCTTATGCAGATTTTGTTCTCTGCAATCTAGTGCTCCATTTGGTGATCATGAACTTCCTTGGATAATTAACATCTGCCTTATAAAATTTTCTAAATGCTGCTTTCTGTATGTCATTAGACAGTTGAAGCATTAACATGGACATGTGGGGACTCTTAACATTATTACTCTCGTTTACATTCACCTTATGGACCAGTATTTGTGACGTTTCTTTGTAGCAAATTTCAATGCACATCAAGTTAAAAGTAAACATAGACGAATACATCACTATACTTCATAAATATGCTCACTTGCTTTGGAAGTCTGGTTCAGACTTCATAACACAAAGGCACAAATCCTCTTGAGACTCGGTCTGGTCCCGGTTCCAGGCTGAGACCGCCTGGTCCTTGCAGCAGCGCGGGACCGACCCACTATTTTACGGGTCTGGTCCCATTATTTTTGTTAATTTTACCTAGTTCCTGATCTTAAAAAATATTGCCAGTCAGGACCAAAATTGGGATTGGATTCGTTTGGTTTGGTCCTCAAAGATGTGAACCAGGATTGGGTACCCCTCTTGGGCGGATAGGGCCTGTCCTAAACCCGGAACCGAAAAAATGGACCATGTCCGACCCAAATAGGGCCGGAGCCGGTTTTGGACCAAGCCCATGCCTACTTCGAGTAACACGTATTCTCAGGGAGGATTAGGGGCCGGAGGATGCTAGAGTGCTAGAAATTGTATGTGCTCTTTGACATACAAATTTTATTGAGAGCCACATCTCTTTTGGGAAGAGATGTAAGCATATGATGATGAATAGGGTTGGGTCCGAAAAACCGAAAACCGAAAACCGAATCAAATTAAATCGAACCGCAACCAAATAAAATCGAACCGCTAAGAAACCGAAACCGAATGTAAAAAACCGAACCGAACCGAAGTTGTTTGGTTCGGTTTTGGTTTTTACCCTTCAAAACCGTACCGAACCGAACAAACCGAACTATTTAAAATATGAAATTTATAATTTAATTGTGAAGCATTAATTCTAATTAATCTTAATACCATCAATAGTCTTTGGGTTTCTTGTGTTAGAGAAATAATGTTTGTGTTATGTTTAATTTAATTTAGTTTATAAATTCATTTACACATTCATTGTCTGTAATAATGTAGCTATATTGAATGATGATAATATGTATTTACTAGTTATTAGTAGTAATTAACTCTTTTTAGATAACTTAAAGATTTTATATTGATAAAACAATAAATATTCATCTCAACTATATCACATAGAAGTAAACAATGTATATATTCATGAACTTTTTTCGAACTACTCACAAACAAATTAAATCTATAATATATACAGTTTTATCTATCTCGCATACTCATATAATTCAAGACATATTTATCTCTTCTCATCTTTATTTTATTATATGTGTCGTTGTATTGTGCTTGCATTCTTTATGTAATATGTTTGATCCCTCTAAGTATTATATCAATTTTGAATCAAGTGATAGTTTTTTGGTAAAAAACCGAAAAAACCGAAACCGAACCGAAACAAACCGAACCAATCAAACCGTGGTTCCAAGTTTTGGAGTGTAAAACCGAACCGAAACCGAACCGAACTTTTTACTTTGATTCTATATTTGGTTTTAGGTCAAAACCGAACCGCAAGAACCGAACCCACCCCTAATGATGAATGTAATTGGTGATCAATTGTTGATAAACGGTGAATATATCCATTGAAGGAGTAATCTACTTCAACAATATTGTGTGATTGAGATTAACGTGATCAGAGAATCAGCTTTAATTATACATTTAATACTTCACTTTAAATGAAATTTATAACCTTTTTTTAGATGACTAAAAAGGAAAAATTATAAATTTTTGTGAGACTCAAGGAATATGTTAGTATGTATTAATAAAATAGTTAAAGATAAAATCATACGAGAAACAACTAATTAAAATTACCATTTTCGGTAAACTTAATAGAAAAATAATTTCAATTTTAACTATTTTGATATGTGTACAATCTAATACCATATTGAAATGTCAGACCCGTGATAGTAAATGTCACATCTCAATTGTCCAAATTGCTGTAAATGTGGTCCTTTGGGGGGTGAACTGTACTCCTCGCTCACATTGTACATTTCACCCCTCAAAGGACCACATTTACAACAATTTCGATAATTGAGGGGTGACATTTACAAACTCGAAAACACGGGTCTGACATTTCAATGTGGTGACTATTTCAGGGACTAAAAGTGCAATTTTCCCGAACTTTAACTGTACACAATTCACATAATGCCCAAAATCTTTGTCACACCATCTGGATACCATACTAATATGGTGCTAATTGGAGAAGTTTTAGGGAAACACATATGATCCTCTTATAGAAGCATATGATCTATAAGGGATCCACTACATAATGCATTACTACAATCACACAATTATTTAGTAGAGGGTTCCACTACATAATTGTGTGGTGATGGTGATGTTACAAAAGACCATATGACTCTATATAAGAGAGTCATATGTGTTTCCTTAAAATTTTGGCACTCATTGTCATAAGGTACCAAACAAAAGTACTGTACGTGAGAGTATTGCTCCTGTTAGTCCGGATCGATCGGAAGTATTGTGCGCTCAACGTCGTTTGAGGGGATTTCTGGTGCAATTTTTTTATAAAACTTTGTGAGAATGTTCCTAATGAAGTGTAGATTATCTCTACAAAATTTCATATTATAATTCAATCAAAAAGTCTGTTAAATAAATTACTGAAACACACTGCGCAAAAACATGCACAAATCGCAATGTTTTACACCAATTTATTAAACTAGATTCCGATTGAATTCTAAGCCGAATTGTTGTGGATATAATCTACACATCTTGAGAAACATGCTTACAAATTTTATAAAAAAAAAATCAACCAGGAAGCTCTCAAATGGCGTCGTTCGCACGAAACTTCTGATCGGTCCGGTTGTGTGAGAATATTCCTCCTCAATGTGATTAAAAGAAAATTAGAGTGAACATTTTGATAGGACACCTTAAAACATCACATCCGGTTTCATCATCATGGGAGGCAAATTTTCTTTTAGAAACAAAAAAGCCTTTTGTACACACTTTATAGTTTACTCACTTGTACACACTGCATGTGAAGACTTTTTGTCTGTCACAGACAATATGTAAACAGTAAAGTGTGTACAACAAGAATTGTTGTTTTAAAAAATCCCCCTAACTACCCTTTAAAAAAAGGAAAGTAGGTTTGTGTACCGCTTCATATGTCGTACATACTCCATTTTACAAAAATTTTGTGGAATCCCATATGGCTCCCTTATGGAGTCACATGGCTACCGTGGCATTATCTTTACCATTCAATTTTAAGGTGAGGCACTCCACTTAAAAATTGAATGATAAAGATGGTGCCACAATACCTCATGCGACTCCATAAGGGAGTCATATGGGGGTTCCATAAACTTACTCCTTCGTTTAATGTGTGCAACAGATAACTATATCGCTTTTAAGATGATTTCTTTGTGATATTGAAAAATAATGTGTCTCGAAACATATATAAAAGGGTAATTCTGATTGTACATAATACTTATACACAAATGGTATATTGTCTGTGTACACAGACATTTTGGCATAAAATCCTACTTTTTTTTCAAAAGTCTGTGTACACAAGCAAAAGCAACTAGAGGATTGTGTACAATTTGTGTAATAATATTATGTGCACATTAATTTTCCAGGATAAATTGGGAGGTGTATCGCGAAAAAATCTTCAAAAAGCAAGTACATCTTAAAAGAGCAAAAGCAGGTACATTTTAAAAGAGCGGATTCCATTTATTGCATTTATTTGTTATACAATCCCTAGTTCCCTACAATACACTAAATCCATTTTATTACACTCTTTATGATTTACATAACATACTACCACGTTTATCTCGCTTTAAGGTTCTTATTGAAAAATGATACAAAGTGCAATTTTTAAATAATCAATTACGGTATTAGAGTATAATTTGAGTAGTTCAGGTTTATATATATTATGTAATTGAATTATTGAATATTTATATTTAAAATACATTTTATAAATAGAATAAAGAATTTGTTTTTATGATATACTTAGGTCAAAATACTTAGTAAAAAGAATAGAATAAAGAAAAATTATATGAAAATAGTTAAAATTCTGTTTTACAGTAACTTAGGTCAATTAAGTAAAAAAATGTAACACTAACTTTAATTGTTTTTATTATTACATAATTCAACTCGTGAAATGAAAAATTACTTATTTGATAATAAAAAGTTGACAGATTAAATTGGTAAACTCAAATTTGGGGCTACAAAATGAACTCTAAATATGTATGCCTAATTAAAGGATGTTCTAAATCGAATTTTAATAAACACTCCGCAATAAAAGTTGAATGAAGAACAATAACTGAACCGTGCATTAGTTACAAAAATAAGTGAACGATGCCTTAGTTACAAATCTGTAGTAATATTTATTATGAACAGTTTCCATGAGCTCATTTCAGTTAAGAACTCCAACAAACCGACCATTACGTGCATGGGAGAAATCAGCAGAATACAAACGAAGAATGTGTATAGGCTGGTCTCAAATGTACGTCAGAATCAACACAGGATGCATGCAGGCTTTGATATTCTTTCCTACACACATCTGAGATTTTTTACTTCTAAAGCGAAAATGGTTGCAGTGCATTAGTCATTAGCAAGACCCAGGTTGTCCTCACTTCTGTGCTTGCTCTACCTTGGCTCTAATCTTCTGTTCCAACACTGATATTTCAGTCTCAAGGTTAAACATCCGGTTTAGGGCATGCATGTTCTCAAGGGTCTCGCTCAAAGTCCGACTGTCACTCCCATCACACCTCAGATGCTGCATGGGACCGTGAAGGATCTTATTGACTATTCCTCTGCTCATATCATCCACTGCCTTCCTTGTCTTCTTTGTGACATCATCTCCCATTTTCGACAAGCATTTCTCCAGCTCAGCTGCTCTGATCCTTTCAGCGTAAGCCCTCAGCTTCTTGATGGTGGGTACCGTTTCCAGCGAGTCCCTCCAGGCTTCGAACTGTTTTGATTCCTCGGATATGATTGCTTGAGCTTCCATTGCTTTTCGGAGACGGTCCTCTTTATTTGCAGCCACTACCTCCTTGAGATCATCCACGTTGTAGACTTGGGCAGTCTCAAGCTCATCCACACAAGCACCGACGTTTCTAGGAACTGATATGTCAACGAATAGCCTTAGCCCTCCAACAGTGGAGCCTACGGGAGGAAGACCATGGACATGGTCTTTGAGAAAC